ACAGGTGGGAAAGACTGGAGGTTGTTTTGCTTGGTGATTAGTCTTGAACTGTGAAGCTCAGTGAAGGCTTTAAACTTTTGTTTTGTATCTAGGCTCTTCATTCAGGCCCAAATGTGTTTCTTTATAAAATGCCAATGTGAAGAGTTTTCCCATGTAGAATTCTCTTTCGTGGCCTTTTTAAGATACCCTGTATCTTGGGAAATTGAAGCTTATGGAGATGACCTGATGCAGTCCAGTCACATCACTGGGTAATGCAAAACATCACCTGTCTTTTCCAAGTCAGCATTTTTGTTGAACCACAGGCACCAACAAAATCAAGTGTTCCAAGTGGGAAAATACAAATGCATATGGGTAGCAGAGATAGGGAAATCCTATCACAGACATTTAGCCTTGTCTTCTCTTGTATAACCCTTCTGCCAGAGCTTGGCTGGCAGCAAAGTTGGCCAGGTTCAGGTAGAAGAGGGACACTACTAGAACACCTGCTCAAGTTGTCACAGAGAAACCTGGAAAATTAAATTAACCTTTCTGCTGCTATGAGCTAATTTGCTCTGCTTGCAAACTTAGTCACTTATTTTTCTGAACTTACTATCCAAAGATGCCTGTACAAATTCAGGTGTCCCATTTTGCAAGAGACATTTAAACAGCCTTCTCCACTCAGAAATACCTCTCTGATGGGTGTTTTGCCAGGCTCTATTTTTTGCAAGTTGGTGCTGAAAGCTGAGGTTTTAGATGAAAGTGTCCCAGGCCCAGTCAGACATTTGACCCAGAATTACAACACCTTAAACATGCAATTTTGCCTGTGCATTATGATTTATTTATTTCTTTTTGAGACAAAAGCCTTGCATGTTGCACCAACACATACAAAGTAAGTGTTTTAGGCTTGTCTGTTTCATTCATCTGCTTTTTTTTTTAAGCCAGATACCATCAGAGTTTGCTTATTCTGGATGTGTGTCCTCATTTGAGTTGGATTTCTACTTTTCAGCTCAGTCTCTTCTAACTCCATGTCATGAAGTTAATGGTGCATTTTTGCGGCCAGTGTCTGCTTCTAGCAGTGATAACTCTTAATGTTTAGAGTTACTACCAAGGATTAGCATGCGGACCAAGGCCACTGCTGAATCTTGTGTACCAAACTGGGCTGCACCTGTGGGGAGCAGCAGACAGCACAGGTGGCCCTAAACTGACCAAAGAGGCATTCCATCCCATAGCCCTGATATTCAGTATAAAGCTGAGGCATCATGAGGGTTAAGTTCTCTTCTTCAGTAGCCAACATCCAAGGAAGATTTTGTCCACTATGCCTTTGATCCCAATCCATGTGTTCCTAACTCCAGTTCCAGAACCTAGCCCCTGTATCCAGTTCCCATCTGCTGCTGAGTCCAGTCTGGGACTTTCCCCAGGGCCTGCTCCACAGCTTCAGTGGTGACAATGATGTAATTTCCATCAGAGCAGGGGGGTCGGGTCAGTTTCGTATATATTTCTTTACTGGTTTTGCATATATTTGTATATATTCCATTTTATTGTTATTATTTTAATTAAAGTTGTTTTAGTTTTCTGTTGTAATTGATAAGTTTCTCTCCCTTATTCCCTTTCTCATTCCCTTTAGGAGGGGAGAGGGGTTAACAAAGAGAGTCTGTTAAAGGTCTGGAGGCAGCCCTGACCCTAAACTGCAACAATACTGGGGGGAGACTTTTCTCATCTAGACTTTGGTGTGTTGGAGCTGTCTGTTGGTTTCTAGGCACCAAGCTTAGCAACTGTGAAGATTATCTGATAAGACTGTGTAGTATGTCTAAGAAACTGTAAATCTAAGAAGCGACAGACAAAATATAATACGTACCCATAATTCTTCTACTCAGTATATTCCTACTGCAGTGTTTACTGGAGCTAAGGTTGAGGCTTTTTTCCCCAGTGCTGGACATCCACCATGCTCTGCCTCCCTGGCAGCTCTGTGGTGGGGTGCTGACATGGCAGGATCCTGATTCTTCTCCCCAGAGCAGTGCTGTGGTAAGGGACAGCGTTCTGACACCATACAGGTTCAGTCCTGCTTCCATATGTGTAGCAGAATTAATTGGCAGTGGGTTCAGACTCTTACAGTGTCACTCCATTAGTATTTGCAGCAACCATTGTCCTCTCTTTTCCCTCTGTTCTAACTAGTCTGTTTGCTTAAAAGTCTTAAATGTGCAATATAATAATGATTGAAATAGTGGCAAATTATGAGAATGCAATAAAATTACCTTGATTCAGTTTCCAGTAGGATGATGAGCTAGAGTGAAGGTAAAGATAACTAATTCCAGTGTGTGATGCTCACTTGGGATTGGTGTCCTGCCTTTCCCTCACCCCACTTCTAGGAGGGAGACCCCACTGTCTCTTCCTCCTTCTGCATGTTGTGTACAGGCTCAGACTTCTTCCATGAGCCTGTTCGTTAGCTTTGCAGAAAACTGATGGGGAAAGAACTGTGGTCTTATTTTTTCCTGCAAGGTTGGTGACTTGAACTGAGTTATGGAGGTGTCTTATGAATGTAAGGACTAGGGTGGATTTTAAGCCATGTCTAAAACCAGGAATTGGACAGCCAGGACAGGAGAGGTAGAAGGAAGAGGAAAGGGAAACAGCGAGTTGGAAATAATAGGAAAAAACTCTTGCCTGTTCAGTGGAGTATTGTATGGATGGAATGTATTTGATCAGTTCAGCTGACTGGAACTGCTCTGTCCGTGTTTAACCTTAATTATTTCTGCTCCCACTGTCCCATCCTTTGGTCAGTCTCCTAACTAGGAAGAATTTGACAGTAGGGCTTGTGCACAATCTTGTGTGTGGACTCTGAGATACTGTGGGAACATTATCAATGAAATAGTACTAGCAGTTCTAGTAGGTCCAGCTCTACTCCTGGTAACTGTTGGATTGGTTCCTTCCTTTAAATGATAGTGGGTTTTTTTCAGTGTCTACCACAGAAGTGACAGCCTCTCTTGTTTAAAGAAAATAGAAGACACAGTTGTTCTAGGTAACTCTCACCTTGCATAATGAACAGAAGCAATAGATAGAGAGAGCTTCCTGACTTGTGAAACAGAAACTGGGTGAAAACCACCAGTAAATTGGAGCATTGGCTGTTCCACCTATTTCAAGCAGGTGCAGAAGCAAGACACAGGCAGGGTGCAGGTAGAGCCACAGGCCCCTTGTGTTTATGAAACTGCAATCTTCACCTCGCCGTAGATTTAGGCTAATTGGATTTTTTTTTCTAGTTCTTTGACATGCTTTTTAAAATTAAATATTAATTATATTTAATTATAAAAATAATTAAATGGTCAGTGCCATAGTATAGACTTAAGGGCTGTGTGCCTTGAGCACAATAAACCCAATTATTATTAAAAAAAATGTATTATTCCAATAAATCACATAAGCATTTTCTTCCTGGGAAGTGCATGCTGCTGCTGCTGCATGCAGTGGATGAGGTATAATTTAAGTAGAACAACTCCATACAGGGAGTGACCTAAACCACATCAACCAAATTAGGTTAACTTAGGTCTTTATGTAGTTCCATGTTTGGGAAAAAAATTGTGGCATCCTTCCTAGTGCAGAGTTAGCAGGGGCTGACTGAATTGTGGCAGCTGAGGTAACATCTGGTTTGGAGGGTAAGAGCTGCAGACAGCTGAGGGCCACATAGGGCCTCAGGGAAACACAGCCTAGACAATTCTGCTCCAGCATGGAGACAACACCCAGCCAAAACTTAAGTTACTTCCCTCATCAAATAGGTGTTACTGAAGAATAGAATTAAAACCAAAAAAACTCTTTGTGGAAGGCATCATAATTACAAATAAGAGTTTTATTCTTATGGAAGAATTATTCAAGGATCATGAAACAGAAAATAAGACAGCTTGAGGATGGTGGAAGATGTTACACGGGGAACATCACTATTAATATAGCAAATTGTGGAAAACATGATATTAGACAAGGTGTTCAATTTTCAGTCGTATCAGTAGGGTCATCAGCAGCAATTACAAAACAACAGACATACCTTTTAAGGTATTAAAATTGAAAAGGAAATACATTTTGTCTTTTTTTTTCTGAAGTACAAACCATTTGTAAAGCCCTCAGTGTCTCCCATGGCATGGAGTTCTGCATGTATTAAAAAAGAGAAGTAGGGCTTGTGTGCTCTTGTTGAAATTTTAACACTGACAAGGAGGGAACTCGGTCTAAAGTATCTGCAGCACAGATAGGCAGTGGCTGCAAAGTGGTTGCATGCATGTTTTATGCAGTGGTCCTTTACTTTTAGTAATCTATCAATGATATCATAGACATCTGTGTCAGGATCCCATGCAATTGGTATGAAACTCTCCATCATCACTGACAAAAAGTAACAGCACTGCTACAACAGGATCAGGCAGCAATACTGTGATTGTCAAAACAACTAAAATCCATGGAAATGCAAGCTGAGCTATCCCTGGGAGCCTCATTTTGACAGACCCTCAGGTTAAATTTAATCAGTGTGTCTGAAATTATATATACTCTACTTTCATATTCTTTTTTGTACTGAGAGGGTTCAATATATAAACCTTTGGGAAAAAAAAAATCATAAAATCTTACTCTATATAAATAGTTACATATAAAAGTTGCTTTAACTATAGAAAATTAGGCTCCAGATTCTTCATTTTCTTTGAACATAAAGTGAGAATGCCCTGCATAAACATAGTGTTTCTACACACATAGTGGTAGACTCTTGGTAGAGCATTACTGACATTAAAAAATGCTGCACCAGTTTCTATCACCTGGGAATATGGTCCACAGGACCTAAGTTACACTGGTAGATAATAATGATTTTTCTCTCAAGCCTTGTTTTCTGAATTCAGCCATTAAAACATGGAAAGTAATTAACATCTCAATATTACATATTGAAATTTAAAATATTGTAAAAATAGCATGTTAAGCATATAATTTTAGACTTAATAGGATTGGCATTTGCTTGTATGGTGGTTAAGCAATTCAGATTCTGTGTAATACAGGTAAGTCCAGAGATTCCACAGAGTTTGTGTACTTATGTCAAGCCTGCCATCAGCACCAAGGGATTTGTTTATCACTTGTCCACTCTGTCACATCTAGATTTCAAGCCACATGGTGCAGTTCTCATGTATCTGAAAAGGTATTTTGCTGAAGCTAATAGGAATTTAGACAGTTTGTGGAAGGTAGAACTAGGCTTCAAATGGATCCTAGGACTCAAGACTATTGCACTCTTCATCTCAAAAGCAAGCTGGACACAAATTCAAACCGAAAGGGGAAAACCTTCCCTCTTCATGTTCTTGTTCTGTTACTTGGCACTGCACGTTTTTTAGAATGAAGCCCATCTTCTTGTCTGCAGGCAGCTCCACTCATATGGCCGATGCTTTCATTTGCACCTTCTGGTTGAGAACTCCCTTCAGTTGTCTGAAACAGAAATGAAATGCCAGTGAAGGCACATACATGTCTTCCAACAGGCAGCCATTGGACTTGGTTCCCATTAGTTAGCTCTCCCTGACTCCCCTCTTTTAGTGGCACAGCTTCTTAGCTTTGAAAGAAATTGAACCCAGTATGCACAAATGTCTGTAAGAGGAGGTTTGCATCCCAAAGCTAGCATAGTCTAGATAGCAATAAATCCATAGGAGCTCTGCCTTAATTACTGCATCTCTAGACAGCTGAGCTATTGTCTTCCCACCACTCACAGCATCACTGGAAAACTCACTAAGTGACAATTCAGTGAGCTTTCCTATAGCACTGTGGGTGACATGTATTTTTAAGGGTGTGAGAAATTATGTATGAGTTACCCGAAGTTTGGGCTGCAGCCTAAGAAGTCATAATTTGGATGCATGTCAGCCATTCATACTCAAAGAGCTATGGTGGAAACAAAATCCTTGGAACTCTTTGAAAACGTGGACACATTCCAAGATGCACAGTTGCTTAGAAAGCCAAATATCCGTTCAGTAGCATGCAATACCTAAAACTAGTAAAATTGTTATCTGCTGAGCTCACAATTGCATGCAGCCCAAAGTCTGGTTGGTCTTGTTTGCATATAAGGCAAGCAGAGCAAGGGGCTTGTCTGTAGCATGTTCCTGGTTGTAAGTCTGTATTGCTCAACTCTTTACAACTCAACTCTCTCAGGTTTCTACTAGCAAGTTATGTTCTCAGCTGTTTCAAGGCACAGAACCACTCACACCACCAAAAGTGAAGGTGTGCTCTACCAAAGTAATTTATACTTGCTTTGCCAAACACCTGAGTAAGATTAAAAAAAAAAAAAATAAATTCAAAGCATACTTTATTTTACACTGTGCATTTGTAGAAGCATTATTTTCTGTCTTCATTCCAGTTGCCTCTTCCATTTCTAAAAATAAAAAATTAAAATAATTCAATTAAAAAGAAGCAGGGGTAAGTATAAATACAGTCAATTTAACATCTGGCTGAAGTGAAAAATGCTTAGTCAGCTATTTTTCTGGGCATTTATCACACAAAAAAATAACCAAAAGATGATGAGTAGTTCCTAAAACATTTTTCTGAGGCAACATGATTAATGTATCAGGACTGTGTATCTTGAGGGTGTGGAGAGAAATGAATGAAATTAGCAGCTTGACTGTAGCATGGCAGTTCAGATAGACCTTTCAGAGTTGAGTTCTGCCTTTAGTCCAGCAGGGTCATGCCAGCCTAACTCCAGCTGTTACAATCTGAGGAGAAGGAAGCATTCAGTGTAGAATGGGCTTGGAGAGTTGGAGAGTCCTTACTGCTAACAGTATACCTGACATTATTTGCCCCTGGATTCAACCCAAGGTAGAAGATAAATAGAAAAGCCTGAGGGCTAAATTTAATACAATGACATCCTAGTACACCAGTTTAAAAAAAAAAAAAAAAAAAAGAGGAAAAGTTAGAGCATGTTATGGAAAGTTCCACCAGTGCTTCAGCACTGTCTTTCAGGCCTCTGTTCATATAGCAGGTGCTTAACATACAGCAGGTGCAACCAGAAATGAGTGGTAACACTGAGTATGTATGTGAGAGAAAATATCAAGAGCAGGATTTTGCCTAAATGTTTGGATGAAGTACATATGGGGCTCTTTATTTATTCATAGTAATTGGCATTCAGAACAGCAGTTTGGACACATGGAAAGAAATGCAATTTATTACTTTTCCTTGTATGCAATGGCTTAGATTATGGTGGCTGGTGTTTCTAATGGGTCACCTGGAAAGGAACAATGAAGAGCATTCATTTGAGCACTAAAGCATACATACCTGTGAGAAGTGCATCAATTGTCTCCACTGCATGTTTTGCATCCTCCATTGTGAAACACATTGGTGGTTTAAATTTCAGTACATTTCTGTGGGGCCCATCTGCACTAAGAAGGATACGATGCTCTTTCAGCCTGTGGAAAGAGGAAACATCTGTGGTAGACACAAGTATAAAACTACACTGTGTCTTGTCAGGCCCTTCAGGCTGAGTTAGATTTTGAAATTTTTCTTTTTCTAGTACTATGCTATCACAAGTTATACAAATTTAAACTGAAATTAATGGCTAATTGCTGGGGAACACTAGGAGGGTTTGATCACTGCACATAGTCTTTAAGAAACATTTACTTGTAAATAAGGTGAAGGGCTTCAGCTGTGGCTGGTGTTCGCTTTTGTTCATCTTTCACCAGATCTACTCCAACAAACAATCCAACACCCCTGGAGCAGAGAAAAAAAATAGACAAGTGAAATCCAGTGTCAGTAACCCAAGCCTTTTGCTGCAAATGCAAAACCTGTTTCTAAAACCTGCTGTTCCCTTCCCTGGGGCACAAGTGGGAAAGGAGCAGGAAAGAGAGGAGACTTTCTCTCTGGTCATTTTTTGGCACCGGCTACTTCAGACGGCCAAGTGGGATAAAGGATATTTCTGGCTGAATAAGTTTAGCTGGCTCATTAAGACTATGTGGTCAGTTAAGAATGACAGAATAATTTTCTTTCTCTCCTACCCTGCAAACCTCAAGCCAGGGAGCTGTGAAAGACAAATAACTAAACCAAAAAAACTAAAGAAAATCCCACAAATCAAACACTGTGTGTATGTCGTCCCACCCCAGACTGAAGGCAGTTATAGTTTTACTATGAGATTAGGAAAACCCACAAAAACATCTCCAAGTGAAATGGACCAGTGATGTCAACAAGGTTTCCATCATCCCAACAGTGTACTGATAACTGGGCTGCTGTATCTAGATGGATCTTTCTCCTGCTCTCTTGCAGAGCTTTTCTACTGGCTATGCTTATACCTAACTAAGCAGATGGATGGACAACTCTTTTGAAAAATATATAGCCATACAGTAGCAGTTTTGAGTAGTGCTTTTCAAAAAGCAGTGTAGCATAACCATGACAATGTTTCTGTTTTTCCCTCACACCAAACTTCTAGGGTTTTCTAGCACAGTTGTTTTTCTTCTCTGGCATTGTTTTAAGGCACCTACCTGATATCTCCCACTAAGGGATGTTTCCTCTTTAGCTCAGCCAGCAATTCCAGGAGATAATTTCCTACACGTGTAGCATTTCCTTGGAGATCTTCTTTCTCTATTACATCCAGCACAGCCAAACCAATAGCACAAGACACTGGATTGCCTCCAAACTGATAGCAAAGACAAACAGGAAAATAAAACCCATCAGAAACATGGTGTCTATCCACATGGTTTTAACTTGCCATCTCCTGCTTAACATGTTGTGAAGAAAGCTTAGAGGTGGGGACCTGCTGTGCAGGCCGTGGAGCCTCATGCCCCCTACTTTGGGCAGTGTAAGAGGCCAAAAGGAGAGGCTCCTTCTTCATCTGCTTCGGGTTTCAGTAACTTGAAGATTTTCACAGCTGAAGAGTTCAAGCTACTTTCATGGTTTGCTGATGGTATATGCAGGCAAAATGCTCCTGTGAAGAGCAGTGGATAATAGATCTGGTATTGCTTGAACTGAACAGTATAAAGGCCTTTGAAAGCAGGGGAATTCACGGTAGCTGGGAAGAAGGGTCAGTCACAGTAGCAGAAAGAGGACTCAGCAAACAAGAAGAAAGCTGCCTTTCCGTGGCATGCATGCAGCTCGTATCACTGTTTTGTTACATGCCAACTGCAGAGCAAGGTCTGCCAGGCCATGAGCCCCACCAGCACAGAGCCTGTCCTAGAAAATGAAATTTTACATGGTCAGCATTTCAGTGGTAGGAGAGAGAGAGAGAAGTAAGGAAGAATTTATCTGTATGGATGTAAGCTGAGATGTATGGCTTGCCAGAGAGCTAGTGCTGGCCCATATTAAGAAGTATCATTTGGTACAGAGCATATTTCAAAGCATCTCCACTTACTTTTAGATATTAGACTGCGGTGCACTTGAGCTCCTAGAAATGCAGACATTAGCTGAATCACCCACACAACTTCTAATTGTTAAATGCAGACCAATAGAAAAAAGGCAAACCTTCACCTACAAACTTACTGTATTGAAATACTCCAGTCCAGAGGCACCAAAACTTTCAGCAATTTCTCTTGTTGTGACCACACAAGACATAGGGTGGCCATTGCCAATGGGCTTTCCCATGGTGACAATGTCAGGCACAAAATCTTCACCTTGCAGCTGGAATGCCCAAAAATGCTTCCCAACTCTGCCAAAGCCAACCTGGACCTCATCAGCTATGAACACTCCACCTGCTGCATGCACATACCTGAAAACAAATAAAACAGCTTGAATGACTAGTGCTGCAGTGCACACCTCAGGTAGGCAGTCTAGAACAAGGGAGTTTGCATTACAGAAATTCTCCAGTGTGGTACCAGGTTAGGAAAAAAAGAAAGAATGTGGCTGCTGAAATACAGCTAGACCTATTTAATTTGATTTTTTTTTTTTTAGTTTACTAAATGTTAAGAAAAAAAAATCTGATATTTTGATGCAAAATAGGAGTACTGTAAGGGAAGTGCATGGTTCTATCTATGATGGTTCAAATTCATCTTCTGTCAGACTTATGGCCTGAGGATTAATGATAGAAAAGGAAAGTCAATTATGCAGCTAAAAATTATTCAGCTGGTGTTCCATAAAAAAATAGAAGTGGAATTATACTCTTCAACATGTAGAAAGGAACCACAGACAGCCAAGAGCAAGAAAGGGTGATGGCTGAATCGACTGGATAAGCCTATAGTGGAAAACCTGTTTCTCTGGTTAATTTTCCAGTTATGCCCTTTTGAACTGATGTACGTACTCTGCCACTTTCTGGAAATAGCCCACAGGTGGAATTATTTGGCCTCCACAGCTCTGCATGGATTCGGCTATGAAGGCAGCAATCTACAAAAAACAAACTCGGGTGAGAGCTGTGTTTGTCTACTTGGTCTTTGCACAAATATCTAACAGTCTAGACATAAATGCTCAAATATGTGCCTTAATTTAATCACGGAATGGGCTGGACAATTGAGGGCTCTTGAGAACAGCTATAGCTAAAGAATTCATTTATTTTGTAATCTGGGGTGCCCAAATCCGCAGTACCCAGGGCCACCTTTGCAACCTGATGGGAATACAGGGAGCTCTGTTAAACCCTAGTCCAACAGTTTTTGACGTGGAAGACACTCACTGGTGTCAGAGCAAGTTGGGTCAGGCTCCTGGGAGCTCTGTACATTTATTTACAAATTTCAATTTACAAGAGGCAGACAACAGCATTTGCCATTTTCCCAAGAAGTTAACAAAGTTTGCTTAATGCCAAGGCTCTCTAGTACCAGGTATAGGTGGTGATCAGTTTTTTTGCTCACTTCTGAATGCCAGATAGTGGTGGGTAGAAGCTGAACTGTAAGATGGCCTGAGGCTATGTTTTGGGCACCCCTGCCTAATGCAAACAACTACACAAGTAAAATGTCAGCATGAGGCACTTGACAAAAGAGGAGAAAAATTCTACAGATGAAATAATTCCAGTTGCTAGAAATGAAAAAGAAAGTTATTTCAAGTCAGGAAGGGTAAGAGCAGCGGATCAGATAAACTGGAACATCAAAATTCGTTTCTTGTCAACAGCAGAGGTCTATGCAGCAGAGATATGATATTACCCCGAAGTCTCAGCATAAGTCTGCTATTTAAGGGATTGCATCCCCACACCACTTGTGAACCCCTCCCTGAGCATCAAGAGGTCTCTCTGGGCTGGTGCAGTCTTCCTGGAAACAAGGCCGAGCAGTAACGTGTAAAGAACCATACACTATATTTGGAGAGGCATGCTACGGCCAAAGAGTACGAAGCTTCCCATAGCATGTGAGGCTTAGCCTTTAGCACAACTTGTCCTGCCACAGGTCTATGGCACCAAAACCTAAGAAATATGCAAAAGAAAGGAAACAAGGGAAGAAAAAAACAAAACTATCCGTTAGTAGAGAATAAAAAAAAGTTGATGAAGAAACTAAAAGAAGAGTGATGTAAGTCCTTTGGACTAAAAGGGAACATGTTGTTCCAATCACCACTGAAGTCTTCTGTGACTTCGGTAGGCTTTAGATCAAGCCCTACGTGTCTCAAAACATTAATGCCATCCTACAAAACACTATCACATATTTTAGGTAAACCTGTTCAGAAAATGTCTATCAAGGTCATAATGTAAATAATTGAAAAGTTCAGCTTTTTTAGATGACTCTGAACTTATCTTAAGCTACTAGACTCAGAAATGTAGTATCAAGATTTTATCTAGCATACGCTCTGTCCTATTATATATCCTTGCTAGAATCTGTGATGTAGTTTCTCAGCAGACCTCAAAGCTTGCCCTAGGATATTTACAATCTACCCATCCATTGCATAAGATATGAAATTTGCATTGCTTGTATCTGCTTATTTACAACTGTATTATTGATCCTTTCATTGATGCCTAGAAAAGTTGTAAGAGCATCAGGTAGAAAAATGTCCCATTTTGAACACAGAACCCACCCTAGAAAAATGAAGGCAGGTGGAAGCAAGGGAAACTGAGTAGAGAAACATGTCCTTAGTTGCCTGATTCATGCCCCCAAGCCACACTTACTAGGTGAAGCCTCAGCATTTCTAAAGCACAAAACACACACCTTGCGTCCATTCTTCTGTGTTTCTTCAATAATTTTTTTCACCTCTTCAGCATAAGCACTTGCTGGGTCTGGGTGGTCTTCCCTATATTTCCCTCTGTAGATATCTGGTGAAGGAGCCTGCAAAGATCAATATGTTGAGGTTTTTAAAAGTTCATCTTTCCATAAAACACTTACTTTTTTTTCTATTGCCCTATTTTTTTGTCTTTCCACACAGAGAGAAAACAGGCTGAATTCCTGCACAGAATTGCAAAAATGCTTTAAAAATTCTTGAATTTTAAGCTTACAGCTAAACCTCAACCCAGCCCTGTGACACATTCAACATTACTGGACACAACTGTTGAAAGTGCCATGTTCTGCTTCATCCACCCATCAAGACAGTCCCTCCTCTCCTTCAATAATGAGTCCTCATCCACCATCTTGTTTCAGAGTCTTGCAGAAAGATCCATTTCTGCAACTGGAGAATGGGGCTTTCCAGTCTGTCCCTTCTTTTTCAGCATCCTAGTCATGGTATGAATCTGTATGACCTTCAAGCCTCTAAAAATGGTGTTAGGGGAGGTTCAGTAAATAAGACAAGGAAAGTAGTATAGGAAGGCAGATACTACTTTGGCAGTATGGCTAATGGAAGGAGGTCTAGACAGGGAAGAACTGTTTGGTGTGCATCTCTGGGCTGAGAATAATTTTTGTAAGATATACAAGTTGAGGCTGGAAATTAAATAGTATCTTGCTCAGCTGGACACCTATGAGCTCTATACCCAGATCTGTTTGACCTTACAGGGTCTGCCTTTCCAGTTTTTGGAAACAGACTCAAAAGTCCTGTGTATCTTCAGCCAACCCAACCCAACAGAGACTGGGTAGTTTCAAGAGAAAACTTGTGGCACTATGAAGGAAATTAGCCTCACAGCTGAATAAAAGCAAACCATTTTGCTGTACTTAATCCAACAACAAATAGCCAAGTGTATGTACTCTAGCATCAGCAAAACAGAAATGTATATTTACACTAGAAGTGGATAATTTAATATGCTGCATGACAGGCATAAAAACAACAAAAAGCAAAAAACCACACTTACCACATGCACAAAATCCTTCTTGCTGTCCTTTCCCAGCTGATTAAATTTATAGGGACTGATGTCAATCAGAGATGTAACATGGCCATGGTAAGCACTGCACGAGTGTTAAATATCGAAGTCACTTTTCACCACATGTATAGAAGAGCTAAATTTACAGCTGTGCCCATAAACAATCCAGAATAAGAGACTATATCTGCAACATAGTAGCACTGTTTGTGAAAAGATCTTGATTTAATTTATTCAGTCTTTCTCTCAAAGGCAACATGGAGTTGCTGTTGACTTCAATTCACTAGCAGGACTGGAACCAGAAGGTTGTTTTCTTGCATAAAAGCAAGTGCCAGCATGGGGACAGACCAAGATGATGTTCCCTGGACCACACCACCTATAAGGTGGCTGCCCTAGCAGCCTTACCTGGCAACTGAAGGGTGGGTCCAGCTCCCTCATTTCCAACCTGTGGGCCCTACTCTGGCCAATGCAAGCTTTGCAAGCTAGACCCCAACAGCATTGCAAAGACCCTCAAGCACGTGCATTGCATCAGCAGGTGGGGAGCTCATGCAGCACCAGCACACAACTACCTGCCTTGAAGACCCTCCAGGCTAGACTGTTTGGCAGAAGCCACTTTCAGGATAAGGATGAATATCGTTTGAATATAAAAGCTTTATATCTGCTAAAATTGGATACTGCTGAGGCAAATTTTATTTAGAAATGAGGAACAGAGTCCTTTGAACCTAAAGCATGTAGCAGTTTTATTCAGGCAATAAACAATTTCGTTCAGCCTTAAACTTGAAGTGGAAGGAACCTCAAACTAAATCAAAGACATGCCACAACCTCATTGTAGCATACCCATAAGGCAAAGAGGATGTTTTTGAACTTCTTTGTCTTCTTTATACCTTTCTACTAGCCAGTCAACAAAATCTGCCAATGGACAAAAAGAAAGCCCACCCTGACTGGAATGGTAGCTCTGGCAAAAGCCTACAGAGCCTTGGCACCTGGGCAAAGAAATACCCTGTGGTGCTCTGGAAGACAAGCTACTGCAGTGAAGCAGTGACAGTGCCATCTCCACCATCAGCGTCTCCTGAAGGAAGCTACTCTCAGTGACTCCAAATCTTGGCCACGAGTCAAGGAGGGCTAACAGGGATCTGAGCACAGCTGAGTCAAACAAGCTTTGTGCCGTTTAGACAGATGTGATCTTGCCATTGCTCTGGCTGGACCTTCTAATCACAACTTGAGAAGAAGATCCAGCCCTATGGCAGCATAACCAACCTTGCAGCTGCATCTCGGGGAAACCCAGAGACGTAGTTGGCCACCTTCCACATGGCTGGCAGCCCTCCCAGTGCCTCCTGATTTTGGAGCTGCTTGGTTTTGTGTGCATACTTGTGTTCACTGGAGGAGAACTGACCATCGGTGCAGCACCGATGCAGAGCTACGGGATCTTTCTTCTCGACCACTGAATATTTATTGGTACAAAAAGAAACACGTCCACCAGAGAGTGACAAACAGAAAGCCCTTTTCCAGAGCAGCCCAATGGTCAGACCACTGACTAATGTTGAAAACCAACATTCAAGTCTCTGGCCTGACTTGCTTTGGGAGTCTCTGTGGGAAATACCCTGTAACAAGTGGTTGACCTTCTGGCATGACTGACAAGCTTATTTTTCAGAGATCTTCAAAAGCTGTGTTTATCCAAATGTGGAAAAGGGATTTCCTGAACTGTTCTGGTATGAAAGCAACAACACTTTTCTTTCAGCAGGCAGTGGAGTACAAAGAGCAGAGGATTGATGCAAAGCTGCTTCTGGAGGAATGGCAGGAGTTGCTGGCTGCATTCACATAAGCTCCTCTATGTACTTACTTTTCAAGGGTGATCACATCTTGGTGCCCATGGTAGTGGCGAGCCAGTCGTAAAGCAAGATCATTTGCTTCAGACCTGCATAGTAACAGACATAGCCACAAAATAGTGAAGTGCTTCCAATTAAAATGGAATTCTGGCACAGAAGAGGATGCATGGGACTAACACATACAATAAATCAACACAGCAGGCTCTGTTACTCTACAGATCTATGCAGATTACAATGTTAAGGTTAAGACCGTAAATACCATGCAAGAGGTCAAAGAAAAAACAGCTCTTTGTACAAACATCAAACAAAGAGATGCTTTCTTTCCCTCCCCCAGTTTGCTTGTAGAGGTTTATATCCTCATTTACAACAGAGACTGCTTTGCAGCTGAGAGTGCAATGCAGCCACAAACCCTCAAAAACCAACAGCGTGCCAGTCCCACCTCCCACCCTGCACAACGCCTCTGTCATCCCCAGCATTTGCACCATCAGGCAGAAGAGAACACAAATCTCCTCCCTGCATCAAGACTCAAACTTCCAGCCTGACCTGTAGCTGCCCCTCTGCTCACCAGTCCCTGCAGGCTGTCTGTTCTGTCAACGTAAGTGATCACAGACTGAATGGAAAGAAGACTAGTTGTTTCCAAGGTCATGTGTCAATTTACAGATAGCAATCACCAATCTCTATAAAACATCTAATATGCTTTTCTAACTTCCCCTCTCCTTTTCTGCATAACATTCAGCAGACCAGTTTCACATTTTGTCTCTCTTGCATTGAGCCATCACACTAAATATGACAGCTGCAAAGAGGAAGGATCCTTCCATCACTACTGCAGATAATTTCGTTGCTTATTACCAAGTCCTACTTAATAAGATTTAGACAAGCTGTTCTGAGTGTCCATCCTGAACAGGAGCAAAATAGTCATAATAGAGGAAAAAAATAAAATACCAGACCTACCCAGAGTTAACAAAGTAGCAGACGGAGAGTTTCTCGGGCAGGGTGGCCGTAAGGCGCTGTGCGTACTGAACGAGGTTGTCGTGCAGGAACCGGGAGTTCGTATTGAGCAGCTCCATCTGCCTTGTCGCAGCCTTTATCACATATGGGTGACTATGGCCAACTACAGAAGAAAGTAGCTATTACTAGCAAGCAGTCAGTTACTGAACCATACAAGGAGAGTCAGAGAAGCACTGTGAACATCATCTCTTGGGAGAAGTGTGTTCTGATCCTTATAAGAAATGAAGGAATAGAAGCAGTCTTACAAACTAAACTGCTTACCATGTGCAACATTGTTGATACAGTCTAGGTATTTTTCTCCTTTCTCATCAAACATATATTGGCCCTGAGCACGCACTATCTTCAGAGGGTCCTTAGCAAAGAAAACTTTGCAAGAAGGCCTGAAAAGAAGAATTATAAAATAACAACATTTTAGTTTTCTTAGTTGTTCCCCCTCCTTCAAGTGTGGGGTTGATCTTTTGCGGTTCTGGAGATAACTGCCTCCCTCTGCAAAGAGCTTGTGAGTGGTTCAGATGGTGGCCAAGCAGGGCTCTTACTGAAGTTAAAACCAGCCTGGGTGCACCTTCCCAAGCACAGTGGGAACAGAATCAGTCTTTAAGGATGTTTTCAAAGCATGACTCTGACTGCAAGTGGTTTCACAGGAGCACAGGCACTGCAAGTCGTTCCACGTCCTTAGACGTCCTGCTGCGTTTCTAGGCTGTAGCTGTATTTGTTTACATGCCTTACAAACATGTATGGCCAATTAACTCCCTGGGAATAAAACTAAGTCGTTAAACACACTATAGCCAAAAAGTCATTACGCAATGGATGACTGTACCATATAGAGGTCACGTTCAAGAACAAGAGGTCACATTCAAGAACAAAACACTAATGCCTCGCAGGCTTTATTTTCAGAGGTGCTGGGCAGGTCCTAAAAAAATCTCACTATCTCATCCCGACTGCTTTGGATAAAATCTTTAAGAGCAGCTTTTCATAAGCACTTAAATCATACTGGCTTCCAGCAAAACTCCAGCTTCTTGTAAAATCATCCAAAGTACTCTTTAAACACATTTCAAAAATATATATTTTTTTTCCCCTCCTCTTTGAGAACATGCCAGCTATGTAATTATATTGAGTAGTATTACCGAGCAGAAGGAAAATCTTCTGAACTGTTAGTAATGTTTATATGGCCTTGGATAAACACAGATATTTCCAGATAACTCAGAGAGTTATTGTCGGGTATATTGAGGTTATGAACTTGTAAAACCAAAATGGGTCTGCTAGAAAGTGAAGTAATTTAATTCTCACAATTTCTAGCCCCATTGCATAGATCTTTTCTGGCATCTTCAGCTATTCCTCTGGTACACTTTAAAAGCAGTGCACATGATCGTAGTAATCATTGGCTGTTTCTTGACATTTTTTTCTCCTGTAATGTGTCAGTCCATTCCATGACAGTTTCATTTTGTTGGTCCAGCACAGCCCAATCTTATAATCCTTGCATAGGCAAAAATCCCTTAACACTGAGCTGGCTCCATAAGACAGGCTGAACTATGTGCTTTACAAGACCATGACTTTTACGAATCTTCAGTGGCCTTTCTGTATATGCCACTTAGGATGCACTCAGCAAATAGCCAGTGCCGTTCTCTATACTCTAGACTTATTTTTCACTTGGCAAAATCTACTGAAAAAAGAATTGAAGCTGCACGTACGGAGGGATCAGATATGTGCCCGGCCAGGACTATTGCTCAGGTCACAAGTGCTGCCAGCCTTCCTGAATTCCCACAGTTAGACTCAGCTTAAGGAGCTCCTCAGCTTCATTTAACAGACACATCTACTTTTCAGAAGCATGCAGTTTATTCATTAAAAACAAGCAAACAGCCCTGCTCAGTCGGCTTTTAGACATACACATGGGTAGCACATTCTGGTTGCTTGCTTTGATCTGTTGAAAAAGCGAGGTAGCATTTGACGTGCAGAGTTCTGATGACTGCACCCCTGGCCCGCGGCCCGACGACTTGGCAATCTGGAGAGCTGACAGGTCCCGTCCTCTCCCCCTGACACACACCGAGGGGCTTTGCCGCGGGGCCGGACCCCCAGGCAGCGCCGAGCGGGTCCCGC